AATGTATTTTATACTCACTCACTGAATGAAATGATTAATGATTTGTACATAATAGTAAGTAAGTATTTATGATCTTGTTTTGGGAACTTGTTTTGCTGTTTTTATTCTTAGAAATTATTAAATGTTCTTTATACTCACCGACTAAATTAATGCGAATGAAATTGATTTGTACATATGTAAATAATTATTTATGTTCTTGTTTTGTGAACTTGTTTGCTGTTTTTATTAAATGTTCTTTATACTCACCGACTAAATTAATATAAATGAAATGATTTGTAATGATAAATAAGTATTTATGATCTTGTTTTGTGAACTTGTTTAGGCTGGTTTATTTTTAGAAATTGTTAAATGATCTTTATACTCACATGCTGAATGAAATAATTAATACGAATGAAATGATTTTTGGGTTATGGTAAATAAGTATTTAAGTTTTATTTTGTGAACTTGATTTGCTGTTTTTGTTTCTAGAATTTATTCAATGTTCTTTATACTTACGGGCTAAAATAACAAACAATAAATATTTATTAACGATTTTAAATCGCTGATGAGTAGATCAATAATTGCTCTTTATGCTTACTCCCTGATAATTAAAATTATATGAGATGAGATCTTGCTCTAAATAAACTACAAATAAACATTATAATAAAAGTTTATAAATTAACATACTTTTCAATCCATTCCCAAAATTCATTTTCATTTTCTTTCACGCCAATTCCATAAAGGTAACAAACGGCAGTTTTCCAAATTCCCATGGAATTACCTGCCTCAGCAGACTTCAAATAATATGTAAACGCTTTATACTTATCAATTTCGGTTCCAACTCCTAAATAATAACAATAACCAACTTGATACATTCCGTTAAAATTATTCATATCTGCTGATTTTTGATAATATATTAATGCTTTCTTTTCATCCTTTTCATATTCGTAATGATATCCAAGCAAATACATATCGTTTGGATCATTCTCATTGAAATTTAACCGGTTGAAATCATCGCTTGTTTTTACTAGGTCTTCGGACATTTTTGATTTATGAAAAAATCAAAGATACGTATTATATTACAGTAATACGTTCGTACATCACATTGATACTACATATTTATTATCAGTACGAACGTACGTACGTGTACAATATCAAGTGATCAGCAACTAAATCAGTTTAGCCTATACCGATAAACTGATTTTATTGGTTTAAAACATCGATTAACATGTCTGGATAATTTTTTCACCGGCTGCTTAAATGTGATTGCCGTTATACAAGTGGTAAGTGCGGTACGCACTAAATATTTCTTCTATTGTTTCGATATATTGTGTTTGTGTAAACATATGAATTGTCCCGTTTGTTTTATTTATGTATCGTGATTTTGTGGTACTTTGTTTCTTTCGATTTATATTGTTGGTTGATTCGGGTATTGTTGCATTAATTGTAGTGTTGGTATATGTCCAATTATGTTGGTTCTATCACATGATTCGAATATTTCAAATATTTTTTCCTTATAAAATTACGGCATTTCAGTACAAACTATCACCTGGTTAGCTAATAAAGTGAAATTAGGATTGGTGTTAGGGCAAAAGTTATAAGAATTCATTTGAAATGCAAGACCTTTTTTATTATTGATTAATGACCGGCTCAACGGGGGGTTTTCTTTTTTTGGAAATTAATTTTTGGTCGTTTCACCCAAACTAGAGATGGCAACGGTCGGCTATTTTCGGCTAGCCGTTTTGTAGCCGTTGGCTGTATTTCGTGAAACGGTAGCACCATTCGATTCGTCTCAATGAGACAAAACGAATGGGTCAAAAATCATCCAATTTAGATCTCTGGATCATGAGATACAACCAACGGCTACAAAACGGCTAACCGAAAATGGCCGACCGTTACCATCCCTAACCAAAACACTAGTCACATGATAACTTACTGTGGGACTAGAATTTTGTGGGTGGCCCGAATTAATTCCCAAAAAAGCCCAAAAAGCCCATTGGGCCGGCCTGTACCTACGAATAAATTTGGATAAAATAATTCTTTAGCTAAACATGAGAATTGCTATAAACATAATTTCCATTCAAAGTTTTTAATTTACACTAATTATTGAATAGTTTAGTCTTCACTGAGAACTCGCTCAATTTTGACTAACACTTTCAACTTGCTTGGCCTGTGACGATGACTGACGTATTGTACAGGTACTCCACCTTACAGATCAGCGTCAGCTCTGTCCTTTATAAGTACAAGTTACGGTTTCTTTACTCGAAAATTTAGCTAGCTAATCTACTCTTGCAACTCATCACAATGATCGTTTCCTTATTATTTACATTCCGTTGTTTACATTTGATCACATTCCACTATCAGTAAATTTATCTGATGAGTTTAACCCCGTTACTACACAATACAGAGGTATCCGAATATACCACTACCAGGGACAGTGAAAAATGAATAGCATAATGATGGCGCAAAAATTTGGCATTCCCGTGATAATCGGTCAATCAAACCAAAACTTAAGCTCGAAAAATATCTAATATGAGCAATATCAACACATCTTACCGTACAGCGCTGCATACAGCACCCCCATGGAGTAGTATCCCCCTTTTTTTGACAAGCAATTTGTGGTCCAATTTTCATAGTTATAGTGCGATCTTTTCGTTGGGTTTGATATGTCTAATAGCAAGGTATAAATTGATAAGTAACAATTATTTGTATTATCCTCCCATCTTCCAATATTTGGGGGATATTATTCAATCTAGGCAAGCTTTCTTGAAAAATACCCGGGGTACTATATGCAGCGCTGTACGGTAAGTATTTTTCGAGCTTAAGTTTTGGTCTGATTGGCTCGAGATCACGGGACTGTCGAATTTTTGTGCCATCATTATCACTATGGCAAAAGTATCATTTTTAATAGATCTATAGTTGCTTTTTTGATAGGTCTAAGATGTATATAAATTTGAGTTGCGTTCTTGATGCATCCTACTTTTTCAAGAATTTGAGCTATGTTATCTTGATGACCACCCAACAAATTCAATATTTTTCATTTTTTTTTCACTCTACTGCCCTGTAGATCAAATATAAAAAAATTTTTCTAAATTTAGTTAGAAGGTTGTAAGATATTTTGCTTAAAATTTTATAAAAATTTTGTTGTAGCAGCTATTTTAATTGACATTTTAATGTTTTCAAAATTTTAAGCAAAATTATCTTAGCAACCATCTAGGCAAATTCTATGAATTTTATATTTTTTGACTCTACAGACCTGTTGAATTATAACAAAAAATCTTCATCAAATTTGGCTAGATAGTTTCTGAAATATTTTCACTCAAAATTTTATAAAAATTTTACTGTAGCTGTTATTTTGATAGACATCATTTCAAAAATTTAGTGAAAATATCTCTGCAGCAACCTAGTCAAATTCCATGAATTTTTTTGATTCAACGGATCTGGAGAATCAAAATAAAAAGGACTTTATCGAATTTAGTTAAATATTTGTAAAGTATTTTTACTTAAAGTTTATAAAACTTTTTTCACCACTATTATTTTGATAGACATTTTAATGCTTTCAAAATTTTGAGTGACTATTTTCAGTAATCACCTAAATAAATGCAATAAATTTTTATTTCATTTTAGCTCTTACAGATTTGTCAAATAAAAATAAAAAAAAATTATCAAATTTGGATAGTTAGTTACCAAGATAACTTCAATTAATGAAAATAAAAATTTACCACACTGTTATTTTTTACTAGATTTAAAATTTGTGCAAAAATATCTTAGTAACTACCTAGCAAAATTTGATAGATTTTTTTATTTTGATTTTATAACATGTAAAATTACAATAAAAAATCTTTATCAAATTTGGTTAAGATATCTTCATTCAAAGATTTATAAAAATTTTGTTATAGTTAATTTGAGATATTTTAACATATTTAAGAATTTGATTAAAAATATCTCAGCAACTACTTAGCCAAATTTGACAATTTTTTTTTATTTTGATTGTATAAATTTGTAGAATAAATCAATCAAATTAACTAGATAGTTGCTAAGATACTTTTATTTAAAGTTTTATAAAATTTTTATGTTAGTTATTTTTAATAGATATTTTAATATTTTCAAAGCTTATACAGAAGTTCAAGATTATAATAGCCAGACCTAATATACAGGACAGACTATAGTAATCTGAGAGCTAAGCCAAAAATAATAAGCACTTTTGCAAAAGACACTTTATTTTCAAACTCCAATTTATTACAATTTTTTAAGTATACTTTAATAACTTTTTTTAAAAATGCAATTTACTTCTTTATCTATTACTTCAAATACTTAAATCATTTTTAAAACATTTTCTTAAATACTTATTTACTAAACCTTACGAAATATCAGTTAATATAATAACTCTTGAAGCTCATATATATATTAACTTCCAAGAAACAATTTTACCAAACCATACTCATTTAAATTCATCCTAATATAAATTATACTAACTTCTCCATTAGAACCAAACTACTTATTTGACAATACTAACTCTAAACAACCTACTATATCTCAAACTTAATAAATTAAAATCTGCTCACTAAATTCAAATAGACTCTTTTCTTTATTTAAACAAAATCTAATTTATAACTTTATTGCTAAAAATAATATTAAAATCTTTGATACATCAGATCTACTTTACTGCCAAAAAAGCCAAATTCTATTCTCTTTAAAAAAGCCTTACAAATTATCAAAACTTTTGGAGTTTAGCTAAAAACAATTAATAAAGTGATATAGGACTTTATATTTATAACTACAGTCACACCCCTCTAAGTGCATCCCGTCGGGACCATAGTGAAAAAAATTAAAATTTTGCACTTAGAGAGTGTTTGCATTTATAGAGAGTAAAATATATAGGATTCTTATAAGTTGGGGCCAACCTAGATCTTGCATTTAGAGAGGTTTTACATAGTTCTTGCACTTAGGGGGTGTGCACTTAGGGGGGTGCGACTGTATTTTACTAAATACATAGGCAAAGTATAAGAATATCAAGAACATCTTCTAATAATTACTTTCTACTTTTCTACAATCTCTATACAAATAATATAAATATACCAAGAAAAATATAAATTAAAGAAAGATTCAAAATCAAATTAATTTCTATATTTAAAATTTTCAATATAAAATTATTTTCATCAATAATGAAACATGTCTATTAACAGGAGTTTTAAATATAGTTTATATAATAAATTCATTGTTGATTATCTAAATTTTATATAGAAATTTATACTTGCAAAAGGTTTTCTATAATAATATTAATTTTGTGAAACTAAATATTTATAGTCTTTTAAGCTAAAAATATAGATTAGATATTTATTTATCAAATTATAAAAATTCTGGCTTTGGATTCTTTCACAAGACATGAGCAAAGCATATAACTCAGTCAATTTTGAACTTTTTCAAAAGTCCTTTCTTAGATTACAAATGCCCCAACAGCTTATCAATATACTTTCAAATCTACTTTTTAACCGAACTAATCATGTCATCACCAACCTTGGTCTTACAAATTTCTACTCAGTCAAAAATGGCATTGATCAAGGTGAAACTATTACTCCTC